CCTCCGTAAATCGCATTCTGAACAGCCTGGAACTGCAGCTCTATTTAAAGATGGTGGCACTTCGCTGGTTCGAGAACTCACCGCTTTGTCCTCGAAAGTTCGTTCGAAAGAGAAAGTTCCATCATCTTGGAGTGGATCGATAGTCGTCCCCATCTTCAAAAAGGGTCTGCGCACAATCTGCTCCAGCTACAGAGGTATAAGCTTAGTCCCCGTCGTTTGCATGCTGCTGGTGTCCGTCATACTTCGCAGGCTATCCCCAACGCGCGAATCGTTGCAGCGAGAAGAACAAGCTGGGTTTCGCCCTGGTCGCGGCTGCATCGATCAAATCTTCACACTTTGCCAGATCCTCGAGCTCCGCCATGTGTATCAGAGGCTAAAAATTGAGAAGTTGTTGGATATACGTGGATTCTTCGATTCTGGCGATTGAACTGTACTGCGGCACTGTCTACTGAGGAATGGTGTCCCGAGATATTCGTCTCCATACTGCACACCCTCTATGGTCTGACCTCGGGCAGCGTTAGGGTTTATGGCAAGCTTTCGCCTTCCTATGTGGTCTCCAGTGGAGTTCGACAAGGATGCCTTATCTCCCCGTTCAACTATTCAACTTTTCCATTGAGGATGCCCTAAAGGACGGTCTGCGCGATTCGTTGAACGCTGGCGTTGAGCTCCTCCAAGGTAGTCGAGTCGTTGACTTGGATTATGCTGATGATATCGTCTTGCTGGGTGACGATCCACGTGCCGTCCAACTTGCACTAAAGCGCTTGGTGGTTTAAGCATCAAAGTATGGTATGTACTTTTCGCCATACAAATGCAAGGCTCTCTTTCAAGACTGGCAGGTGCCTGTGCCTACACTCACTCTTGGTGGCGAGACACTGGAGGTTGTAGAGAGCTTTGTCTAGTTGGGAAGTTGCATCACTGCTGGCGAGCTGTTGGAGACAAGATTCCGATGCGCATCTCAAGAGCGCGCCTCACTTTTGCTATGCTGAGGCACCTGTGGCGTCGCCACGACATCCGTCCCTCCATCAAAGGGCGGGTCTATCGTGCAACTGCTCGTGCTTTACGGTTGTACGGATGCGAGATCTGGCCCATTCGTAAACTTGACTTGCGCAGGCTATCCGTCTTCGAGCACCGCTGTCTGCGGTCCATCGTCCGTGTGTGGTGGCGGCACCATGTAAGCAATGTGGAAGTTAGCATGTCTTTTGACGTGGAAGCCACTCGCTCGAGGAGTTCGCCTTATTGCATCAACTTCGGTGGTTGGGACACGTATTGCGCATGCCTGTTTAGCCTTACCCGCGTCGTGCGTTGTATGCGGTTGCTGGACAGAGCTGCAAGCGACGGTCTGGTGGACAGCCTGCAACTTGGAGAAGCCGCATGAGAAAAGCTAACGAAACAGCTGGCCTCGGTCAGTTGTTGTCGACTACCTGGATGGGGTCCGAGGGATGCGGATAATTGCTTGTTGAAGACCTTGGAAGCCATGGCTAAAGACCGGTATCAGGGACGGACATGTGCATCGGTTTGTTGCGGTGTCAATCCTTCTTTCCCCTAAATAACGAAAACAAAAAATCTGAAAAAATTCAAAAACTGTGTGGCAAAGTGGACAAAATGAGCTTTGGTTGTTGCTGTTTTCTTAGTATTTATACTATTTTCTTGTTCTGCCATGATTCCGATGGCACAATATCCGTAGCACAGATTGTAATATATATATATATATATATATATATATATATATATATATATATATATATATATATATATATATATATATATATATATATAAAGTTCACTGTTCATGCCACGCTGCGTCTTTTACCGTCGTGCGTATGTGGGTTCTGCTCCGAATGAATGATGGTGCTCTTGCAGAACCAAGGGATCAGTTCTACGACGCGAATTCAATCAGATCACTGAATATGCCAGGGACACTGAAGTCGCTTACGAGGCATTGCGAACCAGGCCGCTGAAGCCCCACTGATGATGTTGCCTAGTCAGGCAACGAAACCTCTGCACAATAATCACTCAGTTCGAAGAACAGCTCAAAACCCGCATCCACACCTCGAGCTACGCATATTCTCATGTATTTCAAATGCCAGCAAACCCCATCCAGAAATTATCAATGAAATGGTCGTCCAAAAATCTCAGATGGCTTCTTCAACAAGTTCTGTTAGCAGGTCACAGTGTGCGACTATGGGAAACAACTCAATTTGTTCGTTTGGATACTCTTCATAAAACCCAAAGTCGTTTCACTGCGTGATCATTATAGCCCCAGGGGTATTCCAAAGTTGGATTCTCAATCCCGAGCTTTTCGTTCGTGAGCACAAATGGTTTATTGCTCACTCTGAATCGGCTGGACGAACTGACTTAGCTGAAGAGCGGAATGCTTGCAATAAGCTGTTGCAGGTCGGCCTTGAATTGTTCGCTGGGGGATGACGGAACCTCTAGAGTGTGAACACTGAAGTCACCTGAGGGGAGAACATGGCTGGGTGGAAATGGCATGGAGGCGATGCAGAATACATGTAAGACTTTCAGCACCCACTATGATGAATATACGGTTATAGAATCCCCTAACACACCAATGACAGTGGCCCAGCATACAAACGAACAGCTGCGTAACATCGAGTTCAAAATCGCAAAATACTATCCTAATGCTCGCGCTTAGGTTTTTCGTCCCGCTATGGACCGGACGGAATCCCTCTTGCTTGTTGAAAAGCGGTGGCAAAGACCTACCTAATTTAATACGTGACATATTCACCCCATCGCATAAAGTTGGAGTATGTCTTGCACAACGAAAACCATGAGCTTTTATACAACGACACTAAAGTAGATCTACTCATCAAGTCAACAACAAATGCTTCATTAATCATAAGCCTAGCATCGGTATAATAATGGGGAATCCGAATGTTGGCGTTTTCACTTTAAGATACATCAATAGTAAGTCACATCACAGTTTCTTACAAGGCCGACCCAGTGTAGCCCATCAGATAGATTTCTAAAACTGCGCAACAGTAGACACAGCTAACGGGTCTTATAGAAGACGTAGAAAGCGCCCTAGCAAAAGTTGCTAGGTAAGATTGGAGTTGCCAATATCGGAAACCCGCTACTTTTAATTATCATCATATCCCACTGAACATATGCATGTGGTGCACATTGGAAACAACCACACTAGACCTATAGTGGTCACTACTTGTGCAACCCTAAAGAGCGTCCTCGGCCCTCTACTGTTCCTTGTCTACGTAAGTGATATGCCTCAGAGCATAAATAGTGGTACTGCATTCCTCTTCAGTCAAATAAAATAAATAAATAAATTGGTATATTTCACGAGCAGCGGGATACCTTTTCTTTTGTGGAACCATCATTTGTACAGCAAGTTTCGTCATCACTTCATTTATGAATTGTATTCCGTATGGAACGACTATGCAATGTTTCGTTGAATATGTAATAAATAACATGTCATATGTTTTTCGGGCCGGCTTCCATGAGTGCGCTCGCGGATTGCTGAAGGTCGAAAAGGTTGACCACATGTGGCAAAGGTTTTCGAATGAGATTTAAAAAGTAGACAGGCTCTCTCTGGTCCTTAGTTGCAACGGCAGTTTATTCCACAGATGTGTATACCTCACCAAGGAGAAACTTAAGTAGATATTTTGCTTGGTTCTAACGAGTGAGATAGATTGAGCCATTATGAAAAGCGATGGCCGTACTAGTTGAAAAATATGACGAGCAGATTATACTGTAGAGAAGAATGAGACTGCTTTTCAGCAGTCGAAGCCAGTGGATCATGCTGGAGGCAGGAACATCGGTCCGCATAGGTAAGCGTTGATGAGCACCCTATGAGAATTTTGGCAAAGGAGCGCTATACATTTTCCAAAGCAATTCTATCTGTTTTACGTAAGTGGCTATGTATGATGGTGCAATACTCCAGAGTGGGTCGCACTATGAGTTTGAATTATTCAAGTGGCGTTTGGAATAGTGAGAATGACCTAGTTATGTAGATTGTTAGATGCTTCGCTTTCCCTACTTGGTGTAGGATGTTAGGAGAAGTCGAAGCTGCTGGAGTATCGAATTCTCAGGTCTTGAACATAATATTCAGTTAGGATGGGTGTACCAGTAAGAGTGGTGGATCCTTCTGGTATAATGCATCTATGGCAGAGTATCTCCCGAAAACCACATGGAGTTGCTTCTGCGCCATTTGTTTAGAGTTGATAGATCTTCGCGTACATGTATTAAAGTCATTTATTCGCAAAGCAGTGTAGATCAAAGAGAAGTGCTGTAATGCCTTCAGGAAGAAACCACTGCACTTGAATCCCAGGGCATCATGTAAATGTGTATGTAATGCCCCGTCTTAGAAATGCGAAGTGCCACCAAACAGTCTCTTGCTACTTGAAAAACATCTCATAATGTGTAGGGCTGTCCGTCGCATAATTGCGCGATATTCGACCACGTATAAGTTTTCAACGCAGTGTGACAGGTCAATCGTATACTGCGGGAAAAAAGATGAAGCTTGACATGTCCCCCTGGTGATCAGTTAGGGGTAAGCAAGATAAAGGCAAAAAAGCAATAGAGAATGGTAAACAATCGCAAATTGTCAACTTGACGGTCACAGTGTTTCCGGTCTGAACAGTCTACAGTTGGTATTATGTATTATCCAAGATACTTATCTGTGGTTTCCAAACAAAAAAGGGGGTGGGTTGATGTGTATTTGTTGTTCTGCTGTTTGTGTACGTTGTTTGGATTACGTGATATGGTAGTAGTATGTTCAGTGCACCACAGACACGAACTCTGAACACGACTAACGTGGAGGCTGAAATAACAGCTTGAGTGGGAAACAAACAACGAGAAAAGTTTCTTCTACCTTACAAGCGGCGATATTGTTCTGCTAATTTTAGATGGTCTGTTGCTGTAACTGACATCTAACGTAATGGAACGGGTGAGTAGGGTTGTTTATAATTGGTTAAATCATGACTAGGTCACCACGCAAACGCCGATAGCGTCCGCTGAAAATGCTTAGCAAATATATCCTACTGTGTTTACAAACGATTTCGATGGTAAAGTGACATTGATAACTCTTGGACCAGGAGAGTAAGCACGTCGAAATATCGTAAGTTTACTAGTGAAAGAGATGCGCAGCTGTTGCCAAGAAAACGAGGTGGATGAACAATGGACTCTAGATTACAAACCCCTTAGCCATCACGCACTTTAATGTTAATGTCTACTATGGTGACACAGGTGCTCCACCTTGGGTGCAAATTGTCTCCGGTAAGCAGTGAGGTATCTGAGAAACAAGACAGTGGATGTGCATCGACTAGGTAGACACAAAAGTCAGCAGAATACAAACAAACCAAGCAGTCGGTGAATCAGATGGCAAAAGACGAAATGAAATAGCTGCAAAACAATCGTTAGGTGGTCAGCGAAAAGTTTGTAACGGAGAAGAGGATGGGGGGGGGGTTAACATATGGTACCGAAAGAGGAGGAGATTAAACAGAATAAAAAGCTTATTGGTTTTCTGTACAACCGCACAACGTGAACATGGTCACTAGTAGGTAGAAAGATGGGCTGCTTGAAGATATGCCGAAAGGATGGCGAGGAGGTCGAAAAATCCTCATCGAAGGTCAGAGTACAGACGAAGTTAGGACGTGGCTAACAGTTCGAAGGAAGTGGCGGAACAAGATAACCCTTCTCACTAGGCCAGAGAAATAAAAGCGAATTCGATGACAAATGAATGAAGACCGATGCCCAGCGGAAACCGGATGATCTAAAAGGTGGAAAAATAGGACTGCCCCCGGTTCTTGTCAGATTTTGAATAGGGGGATTCCTTCAGCTCAGGGAAAGTAACTGAAGTGCAAGAAAGGAACAGACATTTTGTGATTCGATCTCGAGACATGTTGCCAAAAGAGGATGTAAAAACAAGGACACGCGAAAGCCAAATGGTATCACAAATAGGCGTCCTGTGGGTGAAAGTTCAATGTCAGTTGAAATCAAGAGAGAGCAACTAAATCCACAGAAAAGGCATTTACAGTGGATAGCGTTGGGAGGGGGGGGAGATAAAATGAACGAATAAAAATCGTTAGCAGGACAGAACGCCGGGCAGAGACGGGGAGTCAGGTGTTGGCTTCATTGCATGAGATAAAGATCGTCCAAGGGGAAGTGTAACGGCAATGACTCCAACGGATCGATATGGACACAAAACTGACGTCAGTTGAGAGGGTGAATGGTAGTTGCGGACCAAACTCGTGAAGAAGACTAAAACTGGAAAGAGGGAGTCTCCACCAGAAATTCAGCCTCGGGTGCCCAGCGACTCGTTCGACATCGTGCTACTGCTCAGCGCTCGATCAATGTACAACTTCAACAATCGCCGCTGGAAGTATTTATGGGGATTGGAAAAAGAGATTTATTCTATACATCAAAGGATAGAGTGAACGCGTGAATTAATGCGACACTAATTGATGTAATAATGAACGCCTTCGCTAACACCGATTTTAGTGATGATTCCAGACAAATTGCCAGAATGCAAAAGGAACTGATAGAAAACCGGTGGTGCACGCTTTGCTGAAGACAACCTAGACATCGTAAACTGCACAGGGATTAGAATCGGTGAATGATGAAGGTTGCGATGGAAAACTAACTAGAAAGGTTGTGTGCACTTCAGGGGAGGTGTGAAGAACAAAAATGCATAACAAGTCAAGTGGATAGATTAGGAGGGGGGAAAGTCAACTTTACTGCATCCAGACAACTGCGAAAAAGCCAATACCAAAGTGGGAGCAAAATGCGCAGAATACGACGGTCAATATATAGGAAGTAAAGAGCAAGTTGACTCTCCATTAAGATAAAGCTCTCAGATGAACAGTGGAGGAGCACGTATTGACGAAAAACCAGCATCCATGCTGAGGCTGATGTTGCATTCATGATGCTTCTTCATCGCAGTTGGTCCAAATCAACTACGTCTTTTTAAGCTGGATAAATTTCATTCCGCTTTATTTATTCTGCCTACCTAAATAATATATTAACTTGCAAAGGTTGCTTACGCTAATTGTGGTTATCTTCGTTAACTTTATTGTGTTTGTAGTATTTTTGGAATAACTTGTGGACATTTCTTACTTATCGCGGATTCGTTGCTAACCAACTTACTGCATATGCTAATCAAGCGAAGAGCTATGTCGGCATAGCTTTAACGGATATATTTTATTTTTGATATTGTTATTTCAAGTGCCTGGCTGTTGCTTGATATCCCCGGTGTGGCTGCGCTTGATGTGCATGTTGACAAAGTGCTTACCTGTCTATTACCCACTACCTCGTCCATACTGGCTCCAGGAGACAGTTGGTCGTTGCTGGAGGGGACGGGGTGCACGGTCCTTGTGGCCGTGTTAGGCTCGAAGCGTGGTTCCATGCACTCAGTGTGGAGCGGACTACGGTCCAGCCACCGCCTTGTGTGCGCTTGATTCCCCAAATACAGCGTCCTTGTGTTTGTTTGTGAAGGAGTGTGGGCCGGCTCCGTTGATGAAACGTGGCTCCCATCCACATGCCTCCCAGTCTTATTCCTTCGGGTTTACAATGCATATGGGGTGTATGGTTGGAGCTGTGGGTGGCACAGCGCAAGCCACCCATGGTCCCTCGGTAAGCGCAGGCGTCCTGTGGCTGGCCACAGTGACAGGCAAGTGCGAAACCGGATGTCGCCAACCACATATATGACGGACTCGAAGGAACACAGCTAAATTTTCGGATTGGTCGGATATCCACACGAATTTCATTGGGGGGCTGCGTTAGCTCAAGACTACCAAGTGTTTTGCTGCTTACAATATTCGACATTCGTTCTAACATTCGAGTAAATAATTGGGTGTAGTGATCAACAATTATCCCTGGAGCCCAAGTACTCTACAACGCTTCCTCACTTTGAAGTGCCATATGGAATCTCGGGATTCAAGGCCTAACAACTTTTGTTGCAAGTGTTCACGTTGACTCATCCGTGTAAAGTGAACACTCCCGTTAACTAACTGACTAGCAATTTTTATGGTACTGATACTACATGTTCTGCTCCACGTGTTAGCCATGAGATTGGATGTAGCTTTATTTCACATTGTTCATTCGTCATAAGGAACTTAGATGCGCTTGGATAAACGTAGTTACTATCGCGGTTCAAGGCGGAAGGACAAAGGCGCTTGCAAGATTTTGGATTGAAATGGCCAAACTTCTGGATTGACTTGGAAGTACGTTAGTTCAACTGTGATGGTATGGTAGTGTTTTAGTATACTTCATCGAAAGGAAACAATTGATTTGTAACGCGGAATGGCTGCAACCGAGATTTTCGATGACTGATTGTTATGAAATAGACTATCGCCACAGTAGAGTAGACAGCTACATTTGCCTACAGTTGAGTAATTGGATGATAGTCAAGCTATTTCTTGGAAATTTCCTAAAAAGAGTTTGAACACTATTTCGAAAGCCGAATGTTGGATTTACTTGAAGTATTATCGCTATGGTCGCGTCAAAGAGATCATCAGCTAGTGTGTGATATTACCACATTCCAAGGCTTAAGTTAGAGCAAGGAATGCCCCTTGGGAATCCGCACATACCTGGGAGAGACGATCGGATCGGTCCAGTCTTAGGCGGCGAGGACACGCAGAGACTGGAGCTAACACCCCGTCTCATTCACACGCTGTGCGACCACCATCAGCTCTGTAAGCCCAACTTCACATATAGCAGATGGCATTTACAATACACACTAGCGATAAGTCATCAATGTTTTACTGTACCGCTTGTTTGTAGATGATTCCACGTAGGGATGGCACTGATGACATTTGTTTCGCTATACTTGTCTATATCTGACTAAATGTAAGGCTGCCATCTAGATTCACGTTTAAACGTTAACTAACTACTGACAATCGTTTTGGTTGCTTATAAGGGTACGTGTGATTTTCCAAAACTAGAGGAATATGGCTTTTATGCTTACATTCAATGCAAACTCATGTACGTACCTAGGGTTATTGTCCATAAGGGTTACTTTTTCTCATTCCGTTTGTGGTAACATATACACAAGTGTGAACAAATGCCCGTTCGCAACACTGCGGTACTGCAATTCGAACCAGGGACCTTGTAGTATGTCAACTGATATCTCTACTCGCAGCGGGCGATGCTGCTCGTCTGTATCTTGAATGAGTAAGTGGTAGCCATTTAGACACACTTGACAGACGGATCGCATTTTCACACGCGTGACAACATTAACTGCTGGCTCGATGTCAAACTGGGGCTCGCCCAAATTACAGGTGGCGCTAACACCTGTTCATGTCTCATTTGACACCGTGAAGTATTAGGGGTTGCATTGTGATGTCAATGTAGCCAGGTCAAATGCCTCTGTACTACGCACTAAGATTCCGACAAGTCATCAATTTTGATTCACGGACAGCGGCAGCAGGTGACATCTGAATCCAAATGCCTGGGCACAGGTAGCATTCTAGGCACTGATGAATCGGTCGAGATATGCTAGCGCCCAGAACGAACGACCAAGGGGAAGTAAATAGTAACACCCGATGGACTGCCTGGTGATTCCTCATAGCTGTTAATTCGCGCTTACCTCTCGGACAAGAGACGATCGGACTGGCTCTGGCTTACCTTCCGACACGGATAGCCTGCAGTTGAGATAGGAGACGGGACCCACAGCACACATCAAAGATAAGTCATCACAGTTCCACTCTGCTTTAACTTCTTCGTCATAGTGAGCACAGCTAAAAATCCCGTTCGTTCATCGCGGGCTTTAACTTAACTGAGCTTATGAACATCAGTGGACTTAGGCGCAACATTTCCCTGCTAACCTGGAAAGATGTTTACTCCATCCTCCGTCATCTTCTTTGTGTCATACTTATTCTATCGCTCATGTAAGTCGCGTTTGGGCACAGTCATTGCAGAATGATTAACTACAAACTTGCTGCAATGCAGTATTTCTAGTGCACCTGTCTAAGACGGAAGAGCCATATCTAACCTACCATTTATTGGACTTACGTAACTCGGTTGTATTTTGCGATTGCCTCACGTGTCGCCCACTACAATGTGGTACACATCGTGACCTATGATACCCTTGCAACTTTCTCAAGTGGATTCTAGTACAATGATATACCAAGACCGTGAGCTACAGCATCGTACTAGTCTTCATCCGCGATTCACATCACTATGGAAGCTCCATGGTATTGCTCACCAGAATATGCGAGGCTGTCACTGTCCCATTTGCTACCTATGTTCTGTTCCTTGAAATCGATTTGTAGATTAGATGACCCTAGCTAGACCAGCAACCCCATACTAATTAGCACGACAGTTAGAGAGCCGGTACATCGCAGGATAAAGGTTTAATCCATCCAAGAGCTCATTCGCAGTTGACGTGCGCGCGGAGTTTCCCAGCGAATTGAGTTTTTACTACGGATCGATGGTAGGGTAGCAAATTATTATGTTTCTAGTTCGGTGGATATGTGTGAAGAAAAAGGTTACCAGCGCTTGGCCGCTTACAATACCTATAAAGTGCAAAGTATGACATTAAGAACGCAAGGCGCAACGATTGCACCTAGTGCGACCACGCTGGGCTATGCATCCGAAGAGAAACTGCCCTGGGAAATCCGTGGCAAGTGAACAATGCCGAGAATTAACTGGCAAGCGATTATCATGATGTCGACAGTTTATGTTTTGCTCCACAGGTTAGTAATGCGAGTGAGCATAGCAATATTTCCCGTTGTTCATCAGCCATACTGAATTTACCGGGGCTTATGAAAATGCAAGTAATAAGCGGATTGAAAGCGGAAGCGCAGACGCCTACCGGAAGTTTAATTGGACTTGGCCAATCTTCTGAGTAAGCTGAAAAGAAGGTAATACCAACGGTAATGGTACGCCAGTGTTTTAGTATATTTCATTGGACAGGAATCGGCGCTTAGTGACAACCGTTTTAAGGGCGACGAATGGCTGCACCCGAGACGAAGGATGCAAATCGTTACCAAATAGATTATGGCCACAGCAGAGTACACAGTGGCATGTACAAACGATTGAGTACTTGGATGATACCTATGCTACATCTTGGACATGGTAAAACAGTGCGAACACTGTACGGAAGGCCGGATGATTGAAAGTGGGCAGCCGGACTTTGTTGATGTAGTACCACAGTCGTTGTCGTGCCAGTGAAGCCTTAAACGGCGAATATGTGATACTGCCACTTATCAATGCTTAAGGTTGCGCAAAAAATCGTTCTTTGAGAATCCGTATGTACCTCGGGCAGCAGATGATTGGACCAATCGGCGACACGGAGAGTATGAGACGAACACCCCATCGAATTCGCACGCTGTGCGATCTCCCCCATCAGCTACGCAAACCAGACTGCATATATAAGAGGCAACACACAAGTACACACTAGTTTACCGTACCACTCGTTTATTTATCATTCTATCCGGTAACCGTAATGATCGCATTTGCTTCCGTATTCCTATATCGGTGCCGTTCAAACATTGATGCAAAATATTTAAGGCTGTCATTCATTTTCATGTCTAAATGTTAAAGAAAATAGCATGAGTTCGCATTGGATACTTATTCTCATGCGAGCGAAAGTGGTTGTTTGCCTGACCTCCAAACGAAACCCATGTACATTTGTAGTACTACTGTTCATGACATTTAAGGTGTCTCTAACCAGTTTGTGGTAGTTCATACTAAAACTTGGACAAAAGCATATGCATATGTTGCATTCGAACTTCCACTGCACTGGAATGAAGAGATTCCATGTATATTTGTATACCGAATGAATTCGACGAGGATATTCATACCAACTTAGTGCAGGGAAAAAGCATGAGGGGCAACCAGAATGACATTGCCAAGACATGAGCAAGGTGAGTTTATCACGAAGTAATGTTGAATGCAGGTGTTGGGAATCAAAGGCAGAGTTGATCGGTGCGAATTTCGTGCACTAATCAAGAGGGGGGGGGGTTGCCCAAGTGCAGGATAAGGCACCATTGCACGCAGAGTAGAAGCACGATGCGCAGGCATCAATTCGATTTACTAATCCTGGACAATATATATATATATATATATCAGGTAGTGATAACCGAAGCTGCGGGGTATATAAGGTGCTCGAACACGTACGAAAGTTGTCATATGAAGTGCTTCGCATCAGTGTTTTCATGTCAGCTACCTTCTTAATGGTCGAAAGTTTGACGGTTCAGTTCTTAACAGATCGCGACCGAACTGCAGACCACTAGAGCTACTCTTTGTGACTAGCACGGTCGAAAAAGTCGTGCACCCCGCCCCTTTCCAGCAATGGCCAACTGTCTCCTGGATCCAGTAGAGGTGGAGAGTGTTAGACAGAGAAGCACCTTGTCAACATATTCAGTAGTAACAAGGGCATATCGATAACCCAAGTTTGAGAAGTGCAATAGGTACATTATCTGGCCAGCCAAAATAAGGTAATTTTGTGCAGTTCAGAAGTTTCTGAATGTCAATGAAGTCAAACTTGACATGGGTGAGTCGATTAACTATGGCTAGTTGGATGCTCAAGCATGAAGGCGCAGAGACATGGACCAAGTATATCAATAGTGTGCGCAGGGTCAGTTATTAGACAGTTCACTGTTGCAACCGGTGTGATGGTGGATTGATTCCGTTTGATATTCCTGTACTTTAAAAGACTGATTAAATTGCGGTTTAATACCGTCAGATGTGGGCTCGCTTTTCCTCACCGATCTGTTTGGTGCAGCATGCCAGCTGTATAGTTGTGAGCAGGTTTTGGTGTTGTAGCAAGAAGGATAAGTCATTTGTTTTGCAGTATGCCCTCAGCAAGTTTTGAGCTTTCTTGCTGGTTTACTTGACACAGGCTCTTTGTTGGTATGAGGAAAATGTCGATGCTAAGTGGAAACAAGTGTGTTAATACATATTTTAATGTTACTGCAGAGAACACCTGGTGGAGCTTTTGAGTCCCCAATGAGGAAAAAGTTGTCCCATTGAGCAGACCACAGTAACTTGGTAAAGGGTCCCAGTCGGTGGGTTTATATCGCCGGGCGTGCATTTGTGATTCAGGCGGAGTCAATCTTTGGTGTCGTGTGACATCAGTGGATGAAAATGATACCATTCTGTGAGCACTAATAGGAAAATATTCCAGAACATCAGCGGAGTCCTACGGTTCACTACTAGTATCCCCGAGCAGTCAATGTGGGTAAAGTGAGCGAGGGGAACCTAGGAAACCGTTAGAATAATAAGGTGAGGCGACAGAACCACAAAGCAAACCCGTGCATGCAGATGATAAAGATGAACAGAAATTAATAAGACGCTTAGATAAACAAACCGCATGAAGGTAAAAAAGCCTGTGTAGAGAAAAGTATAGAAGCTGAGCGAGTGGCTCGATGCATTAAGATGAACTAAGCAGCATGTTTGATTGGTGTGTCATTTTGTGATACTCGTTGTGTGAATGGATTGCGACGAGCAATTGCAATGTGGACCGCGATTCACATTGAAGTGAACCTTGGTCAATGCGATCATTGGAATCCAAAAAAGTACGTTTGTTATTAAAAAGTGGTACCTTGCTAATGTGCAACTCCGACAAATACTCCCAGATACGGTCTCCTATTTTCAACGCGATAGCAACTAGACAGAAAATGCTGGCCTTTCGCATGGCACTATCCTCATGATTGCAACCCTGAAGGAGGAGAAGACAATAATGCGCGGATTTTAACCCAATTAGTACAAAACATGGCATATGATTGGAGAAGACCATGTATAGTAGTCAACACAAAGGCTTAAATGCAACTGACGGACGAAAACTGTATGGGGTAAATAGTCGTCGGGAGGCAAGTTTTTAGTCTAATAATAAGAGGCACAAGTAGTTGGCTGATTCTTTCCCTTAGTCTGCGCAAGGATAAGAAGTACGTCTCGAATATTCCTTGGGTTTCCCTCAGTGGAGATGCTGAATGCCTGATGAAAAGAGCTACAATGTACGGTGGGCGACAGCTAAGATGCTAGCAATCGTGGATATGCTAGTTGGTGAGGAAGGGAGCAAACATAGAAAAAAACAATTGTGAAATGGAAAATTGGTCACAAAAGGTTATAACCGTCGGAGATGCAAGGACTCACGGCTACATGCAACTGAATGAACTTAGCGGCCCTAATGAAATCACGAATGCATCATGTGTGACCGGTTCAAAAACTTCCACCAGAGAACACGGAACGCACAGCCGTGTTCAAGTCTTTCCGCAAGCTTCGCTGTTTTTTCCGACCGGATTTGACGCAGTATGTGTGGACTGAGAGTCTACATAAATAACCAACAAGGATGCACAGGGAGCAACCCAAATGAATATAGTCCCAACTTCTCTGGAGCGCATGCGAGTGACAACCCGCTTCCAACACAGGAAGTGGATATAGATACTCACACTGACCATATCGTACTCATTAGTCGAGGGTTGGCAGTTCAACTCGAGCATTCGCTTCAATTCCGACAACGCTCCAATACGACCCAGCACATAGCCCATTTTTCGTGATAATCGTCACATAACCGCACTCAATATGGCTCGTCTTAGGAAAACGAGCGACGGATTGCGGTAAATATAGCTACCATGACTCGCACGGACATGACAACAAAAGTTAAGAGTATAAAATCTAGGGACAGATCGTGAATCCATGTTCGAGAAGCATTTGAAAACAATCGGCGAGGAAAGTGGGATAGAAAACGCTGATAAAAAAGAACAAAGGATTGTGGAAAAATGACCAAAAGTAATCGTTATGGAAAACTAACGGCCAGGTGCATTAGTCCGAATACAGTCACCACACCAAAGTGAAGAAAAGGTCCTCATGCTTCATAATTCTTTGCCACATCATCAAACGGCCATCCCGAGGTCTCGTACAACCAGATATAGTGACGATAGAAGATGCATGCCCAAACATGCAAAAACACCATACTCAGTTCAAATGCGGCACATGCCACTTTTCAGACACCAATTCGTGGGTTCTATCATCATTTACACGGTGATAAAGCTATGTACACATTTTGCGACGAAATCATTGGTGACAGAAGAGAACCAGTCTCCAAATTTTTTTAATGGCCGCCATGCTTCTGGTCCATACAAGAACTCTGGTCATGAGAGGTCGCTGCACACACTGACTTAAACTGAGACTGACATTCCATCATCTCAACAGACATACGAGAAAGCAAAACCACGCTGACTTACTGATACATGCGGGAACCTCTTAGGTGATGTGACCATTAGAGACAATACAATAATCCAGACTAGCGAATCGATCGACCTTCTATCATTGTTGAAAGATGAGTGGTGGTTAGGCTACATGTTCTGTTCCGTAAACTAACGGTCATTAACTGCAATTCAACTCTCTCGAAAGGTCACAAGATGTACTAATATTTTATAGGAAACTAGCGAAAAGTCAGTAGCATCAGTACTTTCACAGGTGTTCACGAGCGAGGTAACGAGAACAATGTTCCGTTCTACAAAATAAATAAGTTTCGTGATCTTGATGAGAATATTACAATCTTGTGCATATCCACCTGCGCACTCGATACGTAACAAGCTGTTTGTTCGCATGTTGGTGCACAGTAACAAGGTCGAACATAGTACCGTCGCAACATTTCGCTTCGGGTTTTCTAGACTCCTCGTTTTACAGGGGTTAAGATGGTTTTAAAAGGTCTCCAAGTACCCACGATATACGTAGAAAACTCCACTGAGTCGATAGTTAATTTGTTTTGCCTTAGGGCTCCTAATAAGGTCCAAAGTCAACTCTTGGACTGACCAGTCAGAGGGCCATAAGCACACATTGCTGATGCAGATATGAATCAAAGAGTCTTCGCTTTAGGCTATTGGTGGCCGAACATATTAAGCCGTGTTTCTTCGCACCACTATGCACGCACCTGGAGCACCTCATTGATGGTGATTTGTTTAACGTCCGCCACTTTGGAGCAAGAAGCCTAGTGCGTGAGACAACCATCCGTATGCTGCTATTTGCTGACGACAGTGAGTTCTTTGCATATATCGAAGAACTGAAATGCATGACGACTGCATTAGCTACCACGGCGACAAAGTTCGGACTCTATATAAACACAGGCAAAATGGTATGCCTATCTCAGCCGGCACCGGAAGTGGAGCACATGTTCAGGCCAGAAATACGGATTGTAGATGAAGTACCACAGAACACGTCAGCATTCCTCTACCTTGGGAGCACGTTGTCCAACGACCTGCAGATCACCGACAAACCGCGCGCTCGTGTAGCGAAGCCGTGTGCGGATTTTCGGGAAACTGGAACATCGCATGTGGAAAAACCAGCATGTCACAGTTAGAACCAAGATGATGGTCTACAAATCCATGGTTCTCTCGGTCCTTATCTATGGATCGGAAACGTGGACAATGCACAGAAAGGATATCCGGTACCTGGAACAATTCCATCAACAGTGCCTTCGCTGGATTCTGCACATCCACTGGAGGGACAGTGTGCTTGAAACTGATGTGATCCGCAAGAGCGACGGATACACCATGGACTGCCTACTACTGCTGCGAAATCTCAGGTGGCTTGGACATGTGTGTCGTATGAATGCGACGCGAATCCCGAAGCAACTGATGTATGGACAACTGAGCGCAGGCGGACGGAATGCAGGCAAATCAAAGTTGCGCTACCAGGACGATATCAAGGTTAGTTTGTCCCGAGTAAGTATTGACCTAAGGGGTTAGGAGGAGATGGCAACGAATCGCAGCACCTGGTGTGATCTCCTCACGTGCACCGTTGTCTAAGCGCAAAAAAGACAGCTGGTGAATCAGGAAATTAAATGTGCAGCACACAAGTATCAGCCGCTGGCGGATTACAATTCTTCGGCTACTTCCACATGGCACTGTAGTGCACGCGGCCGTGTGTGTCTTAGCCCAGCCGGTCTGGCCAGTCACCAGTGAGGCCACGATGAGGCTATGCCGAAAAGGTCAAATATGAGACCGAGCACCACGGATTGAGATGTAGCCCCAGGTGGAACACAAGTGAGAAGGGATACCACAACTCACGTGTTAGACAGTATGTGCGGACGGTGCATGCTAAATCGGCCAAACATTATGGGGCAACGTGAATCAAAACGGAATCCCCGTTCTCTCACAACATCGAAGACGAAGACTTCTGCGCTGATACTACACTAATTCATCGAGTGTTTCAGTGCAGTGGCAATCACAAATAGTTTCTGCAAAGACGCAGGTACTCTGTATTTGCCTTACTGGTAATCCGAACACAAATGCCCACATACGAGTGCCACATGCTGATGTCTGATGTTGAATATAAAATGCTTCCTCATCGCAGATGGGCTACACTGACTCCGAACCATAATATCATACGCATTAGGCGTGTCAGTTTGAGTCACTTCGCGGAGATTTCCAAGAGATTTGAGTGAATGTTAAGGATCAATGCTAGCGCGGCAAAGTATTAAGTATGTTTCCCGTTCGTTGGATACGTTTGAATCAAAGGTTACCAGCGCTGAGCCGCTTATAGTACCCATAAAACGTAAAGTTTGCGATTAGTAATGCTAGGCTCAACCATTTTTTCTCGTGTGAAAATGTTGGACCATACAACAGAAGAAATATCGCACTGGAGAATCAGCAGAAAGTGAGAAATCCCGGCAAGTAACTGGGTAGCGATTATCATGATGCTGGTACTTCATGTTCTGTTACACATGTTAGTGAGTAGACTGAGCATAGCTATTGTTCACCTTGTTCACCAACTATAATGAATTAAGAAGCGATTATGAAAATGCAGGTATTATGCAGATTAAGGGCGGAAGCGCATACACCCTCAAAAGAAGTTGAATTAGACATGGCCAATTTTTTGGTGTAGTCATAACAGCCTACACTGTTCTCAATCGCGCAGCTGCAGAGGTTCACACACACACACAATACGCGAGGGCCGAAAGACGACAGCGAAAAACTGTGTCACCGTTTTTCATTGGAGGAAACGACGCTCATAATCAAAAAAGCGCTTGCGCAAGCATCATCTACCTGCACAATCTGGGTTATCTTAGCCTGCCTGCAATGTGGCCTGAACATCTACTAGTCGCCTTACTCATCAAAACTTGCCAACCACTTGCTCAATTTCTGGTAACAATAAAAGGTGTCCTGTCTGATTTGCAAAATGCCCAGTCTACATTGATATATATATATATATATATATATATATATATATATATTTATGAACGAGAATTGTACCTCAGTGTCTTAGTATATAGCATCGGAAAAGAGTCGACGCGTAGCGACAATTGTTTAGGAGCGCAGAGTGGATACACTCGAGACGTACGATACAGATCGTTACCTAATATCTTATGACCACAGCAGCTTACACAGCTGTATGTGCCAACGGTTGAATAGTTGGATGATAGCTATGCCACTTCCTGGAAATTTGCAAAACAGTGAAAAGCCGAATGCTTGCAAGTGGGCAGCGGGACTTTGTTGATGTAATACTGTGGTCGCTGTCGTGCCAAGGAGGTTATAATCGGCGAATGTGTGATATTACCACCTGTCAATGCTTAATGTTGCGCAAAATAGGTTCTTTGAGAATCTGCACGCACCTCAGACAGCAGATGACCGAACCGGTCGGCAACACGGTGAGCCTGAAATGAATACCCCATCGCATTCGCACGTTGTGCGATCTCCTCCATCAGCTCCGCAAGCC